TAATTTACCAATGTTTTGTTATCACTTTCTTTACATCTTACATAATACAAAAAGCAAAAAGTAATTATAAAAAACTGTAAACAAAGTCTTATTGTATTTGGTGAAATCCAAAACAAGGTATTTTACAAGTCTAAATATTTTCCCACAGGAAAACTTAACTAAGTKCAAACAGGCAACAGTGAAAATAGAAGAACAAATAAAACCTTGATTTCAAACATTTTACAACTGAAGCAATAGTACAAAAAAACAAGAGGCTATTTCTCAAACGTTTATTAAATAATTAAAAAAAGATTTTGTAACACAAATCAAAAAAGTACACAAGGCATAAACCTTTACAAATTCAAAATTATTTAAAAAACTGTAATATGTTGTGCAAATTGAACAGAACATCAAGTTAATGAGAATCAAAACCCAGCAAAGAAATTTTAATGACACAAAAATGATGCTTTTTAAAGCTGGCATGAACTGGACTTACAAACTTATTCTCAAGGTCCGTATGCAGCTATTAGCTCGTTCAAAGCTTGAGACTGCACCACAAGTATTGCTTGGTTTCCAGTCCCTTGTACTGGTGCCTCTTCTGTTCTGCTTGTGTCATTCTTAGCACCATCTTCCTCAGTGTCTTCAGCCTTTTCAGTTAGTTCTACGCCATCTTCGGCCTCCATTGCCACTTCTTTTCCCTCTTCTTCATTCTCAGCAACCACTTTAACATCGTTCTCGTTGGTTAAAGTGGTGTCTTCTTCTTTGTCGTCTTCGTCCTCAGTTAAAGTGACCTCTTCATCCTCTTGGCTGCTTCGAAACGTGTCCAAAGGCTGCCAGTAATCATACAGCTTACCCTATGTAAGAGAAAATGACAATACATAATGAGACTCGGTGTTCCTGACATTATTAAAAACAAAAACTGACGTGAAAAGTGTAGCTGCTGTACATTGAGAGGTCTGGTTCGATGAAGGAGCATCTGCCATTTGGTGGAGATCCTGGCTAGCAGATCCTTCACCTGAAAGTGGACTAAGATTAGTTTTCAAGGCAGTAGATATAACAAATAACTCCTAGATAGAGGGTATTCTACTATGTAGAAATAGTGCCCTTATAATCCCTCAAATCCTTTGAATCACAGAGAAACAGCACTTGGCTTAAGTAAAACACCATCATGGACAATCCATCAAAATTTTGCTCTGTCTGACTAAATATCAACTTTATCAGCTACTTTCAAGCACTGTTTCAACTCAAAGCAACATAACTGCTAATTTAATGTAGAAATTAATAGTGTAGCTCTAAAAACATGTGGTTATAAAGCTTTTAATATGTCAAACAGCAGGAAATATGAAAACTGTCCTCTGATGATGTAAAATACCTTGTTTTTCAGTTCTGTATATTTGTGTTAAAAAGAATTTTAATTTAGTGTAAAAATGTTTTAATATTTATTGATCTGCAGAACATCATTTATATCATAAAGCTATGTAGAAATCATGCTCACCTTGCTGCGGTAAAGACATTTCTCATTCTCTCTGATGTCACATTTAACATGTGTTTCCAGTTCATATGATAAAGCAATCAGCTGTGCCTAAAGACAGGAATAAGACGTTAACCCTCACAGGTAAATTATTAATAAATCTCTTAAAACCTCTGTCTGAACTCAGTCTCCTTAACACCATGGACCAAAAAAAAAAAAAAACTAGCAAGAGAATTTACCTTCTGACAAGGTGGGAAGACCTGAAAATTAGAAGCTTCGTTTGTCAGCATTAAGAGGCTGTAGCACAGGTAGTACGCCTGGAACACAGAATGAAAAGAAACTTTTATCCAAGAAAATAATCAAAAAGTTCTTTTGAATATTACATAATCAAATTAGCTCCAAAATAAATGTCATGGTTGCAAAATAAACTTGATTCCTCACCTGTTGGTCTGAAGAGGCCTCTTTGTCTCCCTGACGCAGGCCTTGAAGAGAAGAAGGTTTCATCCTGCGGAGGTATGGCCTCAACTCTGCAAGCTGAGCACCACACAAACAGCCATAGACAATAGAAACATTTAATTACAAAGTAACAACTTCAAACTGGACTAAAGATGTTAAGATTTGAAATGAAACTGATTACCTGAAGCTCCTCCTCAGTAGGTCTGTACGTGCAAGTACCAACTAACAACTTGGAGATGAAGGACATGCTCAGATGTCTGCGAAGCTGTCTGTTCGGGCAGATACAATTCTGTTTGCATGATACTGCATGTGTTACAGGTTTGTTCACTCTTACCTAATTTTTCTTGGGACTTATACTTACCCCACAGAGTTTTTATTATTTTCTTTAATTGTTGCATTTTGTTCTTACGCAAACAAGAAAAAAAAAATGCATTTACCTTCCACGGGTGCTGTCAGGCAGGAGCTGAACCAGCAGGCACATGTTGTGATGATCATCCGTCAAATTTGTGAGGGCTTGACAGATTCTGGGGAGCTACAAATCAGAGAAAAAAAGTAACTTCATAAGACTTAATAGGAATAAAGAAACAAACAATCACATTACAGTATATACAAAACACCAAATACAAATGCAAAATGATTTTTAATTCGCTCTGAAGTTAAAAATCTTTGTCATAAATGCCCATAAATCCTAAGAAGGGATTCATGCACTGCACTGACCATTTCATGCCAATCCCTGATGTTTTTGACGATTTTAAACTGGAGACACCTCACTTCCATTCTGGACTGGAGGATCCACCGTGTTTCCAGGCTGATCCTTCCCACCATCGTTAGCAGCAAAAGGAGCTCATTATCGCTGTACGCACGAGGACACAGGTCCAGACAGTACGACAGGTACTACAAACAAAAGAAAAGAAGAAAAAACATTAAGAAACTCCTTAATGTGCCTTAAAACACTGTTCTTCTCAAATCATTTAATTGCTGCACAGCAGGATTTAGGGCGATAAACGTAAAGTCTGAATCTAGAGCAGATTGATTTTTTTTTTTACTGACCGTTTGATTTACTTCCTGTATTTGTGTTTTTCCTGTTAGCTCCTAAGTTTGTTACATCTAGTTTTATGCAGTGGGATTTCTTCCCTTCATTGAAGGTGACTGATTCATATTCACATGCCTTCTGTGTTGTGCCTCATTCCACAAGTTACAGTCCTTAAAGCTCATCTGGTGAACACCTTAATAAACATATTGCCTAAGATCAGCTCACATCTTTACTTCTTTAAATTAAATTAAATAAAAACTGAACATTTTAGGGAATAAGCCGTAAAACCAATTATGACATCTGACTAAAACGTTTCAAAATATTACCTCTGTAAAACATTATATTTTACTCAAAACATCTTATAAAAGATCCTGTGGAAATACTCTTAGTGTCCCATCATTTCTACTGTGGCTCACCTTTAAAATGTTGCAGCAGTTGTGATCAGGGAACTCCATCTCTTCCTGGTTATTGGAGGGACTCTCACTTTTTATATAAATATTTTCACTTCACACACACACACAAAAAACATAGTTACTTAGAAGGCTATCCTATAAAATCCATCACACGTCTTACATTGTTTTATATAGAAGGCAGCACAACAGTAAATAAGTGATGCAAAGAGCAAAGCTACTTACAGCAAATCTCCCTCTGTGAACGATGGCTGCAGATTCCCAAAGGGGAAGAGTGTAACAAATGTGACGCCCATATTCATGAGAACAAGTGTCACATCCGCCAAACTGGGGACCCACACTTCAAACTGCTGATTTCCATTGTTGACTAAAGAAGTACATATACAAAAAAATTCTGATTAAATTTGATACATCCTTCAGGGGCAAAACATAAGAAGCTTGTGGGAGGACATGCGGACCTATCTGATAAGCAGCTGAAAAGGCGATGTCACAGAGCACTTGCAGGATCTTCTCTGACAGCATCCTCTCATGATGGACTGACATCATCTGACAACAAATAATCAGAAGCTCATACGAACAACAGATTGATCACTAAGGATATTAGCATCAGAGTTTCTTCTTTTACTTTTGACAACCCTACTTACAATATAATACACGGGTGTGGTGAGCATACCTTAAAGAGAAAACGGGTGACCTGAGCGGGACATGGTGAGTTTTCGTCGTACGCAGTCTGGAACAAACCGATATTGATATGAAGTTCCAGCTGAGCAGGACTGGACCTGGTATGAAGCAGGAGAACAAAAGAGGAGAAACAAATAAGAAACATCACTCAAGGTTTGTTCTGCTCATCATCTTAGTTCAGCACTAGGTTCAAACTGAAGGAAAATACGACTCATTTCAGATTTTTTCATGATAGTTTGAACATGAAAAATCTGACCCAGGCCTCTTCAGTAGTACTGAATCTGACACATCTGATGTTTGTGACCTCAGTTTGAACACTCCTGTCACATTTCATCTGACTTTTACATCTATGAAGTGGGGGTAAGCAGATTGAGAAGATTATTTAAAATATTGATAACAACCGTGTGCAGTTTAAATCTTTTTTTCTTTTTTTTTTTTGTTTGCAGTGTAATTTTGTAACTCTGCACATCTTCAGCTACAGAGCGTTCACACTGGAGTCAGCTGGAGGTCGCATTTAAAATATAATGTGAACGTTCACGCCAAAAATAATCTGAATTGAGCAGTGTGACCTTCAGTGTGAACGTAGCCTTAGACACAGAAATATGTTTGCAATCTTATATCAAATGATAGAAAATACACAATTTGGCATGTTCAGCATAGAAAACAAAGCAGCAGAATGTAATTACATGATTTTCCCCCAGACTGAAAATTAAAAATGTGCTTTCTTGGCCTTTTATATAAAGTAATATGCTTTGGTAAGCTGACTGCTGAAAAAATGCCTGTAAATTTGGCACAATGTGACTGAAAGGCACGACTGGGTCAGCATGTTTCTGTTATAATATATTTTAAGTATATTTGTTAATACAGAGGTTTTGTCATAAAGAAAGGGCTAAACTTTAGGGTTTTGTAAGAAGAAACTCACTTTACTTCAAAAGTCAAAGTTCAGCCATCTAACAGCATGAATGAAGAAATAAAAAGGCCATTTACAGTTGTGGTCAAAAGTTTACATACACTTGTAAAAAAACATAATGTTATGGCTGTCTTGAGTTTTCAATAAGTTCTACAACTCTTATTTTTCTGTGATAGAGTGATCGGAACACATACATGTTTGTCACAAAAAACAGTCATAAAATTTGGTTCTTTCATAAATTTATTATGGGTCTGCTGAAAATGTCACCAAATCTGCTGGGTCAAAAATATACATACAGCAACATTAGTATTTGGTTACATGTCCCTTGGCCATTTTCACGGCAACTAGGCGCTTTTGGTAGCCATCCACAAGCTCCTGGCAAGCTTCAGGTCGAATGTTTGACCACTCTTCTTGACAGAATTGGTGCAGTTCAGCTAAATGTGATGGTTTTCTTGCATGAACCTGTTTCTTTAGCACTGTCCACATGTTCTCAATGGGGTTTAAGTCAGGACTTTGGGAAGGCCATTCTAAAACCTTAATTCTAGCCTGGTTTAGCCATTCCTTTACCACTTTTGATGTGTGTTTTGGGTCATTGTCTTGTTGGAACACCCAACTGCGCCCAAGACCCAACCTTCGGGCTGATGGTTTTAAGTTTTCCTGCAGAATTTGGAGGTAATCCTCCTTCTTCATTATCCCATTTACTTTCTGCAAAGAACCAGTTCCACTGGCAGCAAAACATCCCCAGAGCATAATACTACCACCACCATGCTTGACAGTAGGCATGGTGTTCCTGGGATTAAAGGCCTCACCTTTTCTCCTCCAAACATATTGCTGGGTGTTGTGGCCAAACAGCTCAATTTTTGTTTCGTCTGACCAGAGAACTTTCCTCCAGAAGGTTTTATCTTTGTCCATGTGATCAGCAGCAAACTTCAGCCGAGTCTTAAGGTGCCTTTTCTGGAGCAAGGGCTTCTTTCTTGCACGGCAGCCTCTCAGTCCATGGCGATGTAAAACACGCTTGACTGTGGAGACTGACACCTGTGTTCCATCAGCTTCCAAATCCTTGCAGACCTGCTTCTTGGTGATTCTTGGTTGACTCTTGACCATCCTGACCAATCTCCTCTCGGCAGCATGTGATAGCTTGCGTTTTCTTCCTGATCGTGGCAGTGGCACAACTGTTCCATGCACTTTATACTTGCGCATAATTGTCTGCACAGTTGCTCTTGGGACCTGTAGCTGCTTTGAAATGGCTCCAAGTGACTTCCCTGACTTGTTCAAGTCAATAATTCGCTTTTTCAGATCCACACTGAGTTCCTTTGACTTTCCCATTGTAGCTTTTGTAGCTGACTCTAATCACTGGGTCAAATGAGCCCTATTTAAATGGGCTCATGAGAAGTCAACAGCTGTAGTCAATCAGAATCACTTACAAGAAGTGAAGAGGCCATGACATGAAGCTAATTTGATTGACACAACTCGCTACATCACCAAAATTGACAAATTTTGTTGCTGTATGTATATTTTTGACCCAGCAGATTTGGTGACATTTTCAGCAGACCCATAATAAATTTATGAAAGAACCAAATTTTATGACTGTTTTTTGTGACAAACATGTATGTGTTCCGATCACTCTATCACAGAAAAATAAGAGTTGTAGAACTTATTGAAAACTCAAGACAGCCATAACATTATGTTTTTTTACAAGTGTATGTAAACTTTTGACCACAACTGTATATCTATACTTTTTCAGTTTCACATATCACACATTTCTCCTCTGATAATAAGGAAGCAAAAAAAGCATATTTCTTTGCAAACCAATAAATAACTTGTGACAAAAAAACAGCTATTCAATTACCCAAAATATAAATACAAGGTAATCTGAGTTTAAATACATCTCAGGTGCTCACACAGTGCCTTGCTAGTAGAGCCAGCCCTTAGATTCTACCAACGTGTAGACACTTAGAAATATGACTTACCACAGAAGTGTTTTCTGTGCTGTCCCCTGTGGACTGACCATGCATTGCCTGAGCTGTAGTGTATCCTGGTCAAAGATTTGGCCACGTTTTTCCAAGTTGAACACTGATTCTCCTGGAGGCACTTCTCTGATTGCAGAAGACATCAGCGAGTAGCGCTCCAGGAATTCCCTAAGACAGGAAAAAAAAACAAACAAAAAAACATTTATCATAAAACTCTAAATCAGGGATTGTGCACAAGAGTGTGGTGTGCAAACATAGTTCTGTTTTCCTTACCGCTGCTCACTGGAGATCGTCTGGTTCATCTCTGCTTCCTCGTATTCAGCCAACTTCAACAAGTCTTCTTTGCATGCAGTTAATAGCTGTGCCTCAATCTCTTTAGCTCTGATAAATATAGATCATAAACAACTATAACTCCTTTCATGCACAGACAATTAAGCCGGGTACACACCAGACATGTTTTGAGCAGCCGAAGCAACCAGTTTACATGCAAAGTCTACTGTGAAATGCACATCTAGGAGCAGTGCGACGCGTTTGGCCAGTTTAGCACGGCGCGCAAGGTTAGCGGTAGGTACGGTAGAGTGTTTTCTGTGTATGCGGCGCGTCCAAAGCAGCCGCTGCTCGAGTTCAAAAAATTGAATGTCAACCAATCAGAGAGAAACATTTTTCCACGTGACAGTTTCCTGAATGTTGCCCACTAAAGCGAAACAGACGGACAGGAGCTCTTTAGCTGAAATCGACTGTCTGCAGTTGGTGTTCTGGCTGGAGATATCAGCACCAATGCGGGTCAGCAGCTCATTAAACTGACCAGTGTTAAACTGGGATCGGGAAAAAAAATAGTTTGTCCATCAGCTCCTGGAGTGGTGAAAATCACCGAACCGCCTCCAAATTATCTGGTGAATTAATTATCTGCTGTGCACAACGTTCGCTTGCTCTTTAGTAAATAAAGCAAAGCCATTTTCTTTATTTTATCTTTATTTCACCCGTCATTAAGGAAAGACCGGAAAAAACCAAGACGCTCCTCCCTCTTCAGACGCGCATCTAGTCTGCTGCTGCGTTTACACCGAACGAACATGTTTCAGTGCGTCCAACATTTTTGCTGCTAAAAAACGCGTTTGGTGTGAAACCGGCTTTAGTAACAGGAAAGGAAAAAGGAAGCTCAGCTCTTTGACAACATACCTTTTGTTGCTATTAATTTCCTTCAGCATTTGGTCAAGATTGTTCTTGTAGGCACTTGACTTTGTTGTGAATGGAAGTTGCGGCTATGAAAAGTTAAAAGTGACAGAGAAGAAGTGAATTAAAAGAATAATTTTTTTAAAAATCTATAACCTTAGGTATGACCAAAACAAACTGAGCTTACATTTTTTGATGGGGAGCTGTTACGGCCCGGTGTGCTTGGTTCAGAGAAGGCTCCTTTTTCCGGTGTATCTGGAGGTTTGGTAACTCGCTCCATCATCTCCTGGAAGGACACCAGCTGGTCCTCCTCACTGCTATCGGAGCTCTCAGTTACATCTACTTCATATGCAAAGCTTAGGCCCAGATCAAGCTCCACATCAATGGGATCGTCTTCATTCAAATGAGTTTTGCTTCCTTCACCTGCTTGTTCCTCCAGAGGTGGAGACTGAGTACACAGAGCTGGACTTTTTTGTTCTGAGGCTGCTGTGTCCGACTCTACAGAAGACAATCTTACATTGGTGGAACGTAACGGTGACTGTTCACGATGAGATTCATTGCTCTCGTCTTGAAGCCGCTTTCCTGAAAGTGGGCTTTTAGGTCCTTCATTTTCAGAACAAATTTGCCATTTTTCTAATTCCACACGCTTTAAAATCACATTTGGCAATGAGACTGGGGTATTTTGTGCTGAGGATGACTCTGCGTGTGCAGGTTCTGCTACTTTGGAGTGGGGAGTCATGTGACAAGAGGATGCACCAACTGAGGGAACAGACCTGGTCGCAGTGCTAGTACTTGTCTCTAAAGTCTTTGAATTAACCTTTTGCTCATTTGTCGTTGGTTTTGCAGTCTTAGCACTGACACGATAAAAGGGATCAGGGGTAAAAAGCTGATCTATGTCGTCATGAAGCACTGGTTTTCGTAAACGGCTTGTTTTAGTGCGCTCTGCTGTGCGACCACTCTGTGAACCCAAACTTAGTTTTGATGTCGGTTTGGGGGTGCTGTCGTCTAATTTTTTTCCTCCCACTTGATGAACTCTGCTCGGGGTCTTGACTGGTAAGACAGGCATGTGTCCAGTATGACGAGAATGGCTGACCGGAGCTGCATGAGGTGAATTACTGCTGTCCTTCTGAGAAACTTTAGAAGCACTTGATTTATCGTTTTGATGGTTTTCCACATTTCCTTTTTTCACACTTTCTTCACGGGACCTTGAAGAAAAACTTAACTTCACGAGATTCTGAGTGGTGGTTATATAAACTTGCTTTGCTCCTGTAAACGGTGCCTTCTTTGGACAACGTTTAGGTGATGGTGTGATGTGTGACTGAGAGGGTTGGAACGTGGGCAGATCTGAGCTTGTTGACTGTCCACATGGCAGCTCGGACTGCAGACGGCCATCTGCTGTTTTGGGTGATAATTCCAGGACTGAAGGGTTCTTCAAAGATGGCTGAGACACCAGAGAAGTGCTTAATGAGATGGAAGGAGTTGGTTTGGTTGTCTGAGTTCTGCTAGAGTTTGCATCCTGAGGACATGGTTTCTTGGTATTCTCACAAGAGTATTCAGATTCTCTGCGCCTCTTCTGGGAAGGGCAATTCAAATCCACTGCTGGAGACAAAAAGATAAACATTTTGTTTAACCATATTAAGTCTTCACAAAATATCTAGCAGTGTCAGTATTTAAACATTCTTCAAATAAAAAATGTATGCTTTAATGAAATAGAATAAAAATAGAACTAAACAGAGCACAGAGCAACGCAGAAAAGTATGAGATTACTGTAGCTCAGAGACGTGTTGATTTTACATAAAGAAGATTATTGTTAGATAAAATGTCTGTGTTGTCAGTTTTACATAATTCATATATAAGTCAGCATAATGAAAGGATCATTTTCAAGTTTACACTTTAAAAGCTACACAAACTTCAAGAAAACACACACAAAAAAACTTGAAGTATGGACTGTATAATGGATGACCAGGGTTTTTATATATTTATGACTCAATTACAAAAAGTAAAATAAACAGTAAAAAATGTTTGTTGTTGTTGGGAACATGAATCCTTCAGGAAAATGTTTTCAGTGATTACCAAACTGCAGATTTATTTGACATTATTACCTGGAACTGAATTTTCACTTGAATGTAATTGTTCATACTGTTGACAATACAGAAAGAAGAAGAATGTTAGTCCTTTAGACACAGAGTTGTACAAAAAAAAACATGAATCAGTTTCATCTAAAACATGTCATTTGTTGCTATCTAGCATTAACTAGGTTCAGTTTTATGAATCACAACTAATATTTTTAGCAGATTTAAAATACTTAAATAAAAACAGCTGCAAATACTGGATTCTATTACGTATCATCATTTTGCAACAGAATTAAAGCTATTTCCAGTGATTTTTGAATACTAATTACATCACATTTGATAGCATCAGTCAAAGTGTTCATCTGACTTCAAACTTCCCTGATACCGATCTAAAGTCATGTGGAATACCCCAACATTTTCTTTGTCCATACTCTCAATGTTCAAATTTGTTTGAGGGGAAAAGTGATCTGTTCAATTTTGAGTGATCCTCTAATCAGAGCTGTGTATATTAGAGACATTGTGGAAAAGGAACATCTCTCTTCCTTTTGAAAACAAGATAGCATGAATGCCTTGACAAAATCATTAGGCCAAACAAAAAGGTTTAGTTTTAAAACTTCTAACCCTCTGTTTCCTAAAAAACAAACAAACATTGTATTAAAGCCGAGTACCAAACTCCACAATCTCCCTAAGTGATTAAGCCACATCAGATTGTCCTAGTTCCTCGAACTTGGTTTGAAACTGGGCAGTAACATAAACCACTGTTCTTGCCAGTGGACAAAGAAATTGGAAAGAAATTTGGCAGCCCCTTGAGGGTCAGTGGATGATACCAGGACCACAGCCCTTTGAGTCTGCAGTTTACCGGAGAACTTCATGGCCTGTTTTGGTGTTGAATCAAGGATTCACAAAGCTCAAGGAAAGCCTCTGCAGCTCTGCGGTGAGTACGAAACGTCCTACTTGTGAGCACTGAACATAGCAGAATAAATGTTTAGAGCCACAACAATTCAGTATCACTTGGCTGATAATGGTTAGGCACTTCAGTACGGACAAAATGAGGTTCCCCCAATATCCAGAAAAATAAAAATAAATAAGAGAGAGAGAGAGAAAAGTAAATACTCTCAAATGTTCTTGTTTTGTACCTTCTCATTCTTGTTTCCTGAGATGGAGTAAGTGACCAGTGATTCAGTCTCTTGATCGCTCCTGTAGTGGGCGGGTGTAGAGTGGTTGCTGAAATTCTTCACAGACTCAGTGGCTGGAGACACAGATACACTAGAAAACGAAGGTCTATCAGATGAAATAATATTGCCACATGGGCTGGCTTGACCAAGATGAGATGAACAAAAATATCCTGGCTTTGCTGGCACAGTGCCCTGCTGTGGACCTGATCTTTCCCTTGGTGTAGACGGGGGTGTATATGCTGTAGTGCAAGTATTAGCTGGACTACTTGGAAAAAGTCCAGGAGGTTGAGCTAAATGCTTTGGAGCCAGGCTTGCTTTGGGTAAATGATTCACAGGGGAATGAATGTTAGTTGGGCTGGTTAGAACAAACTCCAGTGAATTTACAAGTTGTACTGGACGAGGAAGATTCCAGTGTGGGCGAAATCCATCCTTGTTGCACTGCTCAGGTGTCTGAAGAGGCAAAACTCTTCTGGGTGGGTTTTGAGAAAGCAGGTTTGGGACTTGAGAGGGCTTCATTGGAGTCTCTTGGGGAAAAGTGAAACGCCTTAGGGAGTTCTGTTGAAGTTCAGGACCCATTGCTAGAAAATAGAAAAAGCAACATGTAAACACTCTGAACTGGTTCTTGTTGCACTTTTAGAAGAAACACCAAGCCTGATAAGATTTAACAGTTGTAGCAAATACAGTCAAATAAATATTTCTAACTGTGTTTTAATTTCCATATCTTTTGTGGTAATAAACCTTTAGTTAGATCCTAAACAGAAACATGTAAAAAACTTTGGTATGCCAACTTCTCCACCACATAGCTCTTGTCATGTTTTTGTGTTTTGTAGTATTACACAGTTAATACAGCTGTGTATTAAATAGGCAATTAAATACGCAAAGACAAGACCAACAAAAATATTTGTGTACACTGTTAAAACGGTCAGTCCAACATGCCAGTGATGCAGAAAGTTTGGCACTGTTCTTATTAGATTTGAAAATTAATGTCATTATTACTACTTTTGACATAATTTTAAAAATGTTACCTTATTAAAGTAAGTTAAAGCACCCGATGAAAGGTGCCAGATGTAAATTCAAGAAGATTAAAAGAAAAGAAAAGAAAATAATCTCCACAATGTAAGGGCAGTCGTTTAGACTTACCTTTTGTACTCATTGGAGAGAAGTATTCTCCAAATGTTCTGTAAGGAAATTCAGAAAAAAAAGAAATGTCTAACATACGATTTTAACAAAAACAAGCAACGGTATATCGCATTTGAACTGAACACAACCACAACCGAGAAAAGTGCATCTGCTCAGTACTTTCTCTACAAGCTACGTAAAATGATGACACACGGCTCCAGCAGCAGCAAATATTTTAGAGAAATTATTACGGCGTTACCACACGTGGGTTTGTCACTGAATAATAACACCAACTAAACTGCTGTACTTCATGAAAGTTGGTTCACTTTTCAATCATAAACAACCGGACAGAAAGCTAGCAAGTAAGCTAAGGCTAGCAAGGAAAGAGGCAAACGCGTTTGCCTGAATTAAACAGCACGACAGTGTTATTACTTAACGTTAACTAGTCGCATTGTATTACAATAATACATATTAATGGTAAGAACCTATAAACACATACCTCTAAAGCACATAACACAAAACTGGATGACTACAATAGCTAGTCGCTGTTTGTTTCAGGAAGTGATGTTTTGCTAGGCGGTTAGCAGTCAGGTAAATGAAGCTCTAGGTTTTCTTACCCTGGATTTCTTTGACTGTCAGTCGCTTTCTCCATTTTCAAAGTTGTGAAACTTAATCATGACAAAAACAGCGGGAATGACAAGAAGTCAAGTATTTCCGTAGCTAAAGCCATTTCATCGAACTTCTCCCGCCTGCACGACGAGCACAACTGTTGTTTCGAAATGCATTGTGGAACTTGAAGTCAAAATCAAGAATCCAGTCAATGAAATATGTCATCATAGGTTACACAGCATATATGTTGTCTCTTGTCTTTACGACGTTAATGGAATGTATTCATTTTTTAAATGCGCTTTTTGGACTGCTGACAAAGCATAAAGTACGCTTACGGTGTTAAAAAAATTAGTTGTTTCGCTTTGTTAAATAGTGGAGGTGTAGCACCTAGCAACATGGCGGCCAAAATATAAACGATGAAATGAAAATGTCATAGCTTACACAGCATATATGTTGCCTCTTGTCTTCACAACGTTAATGGAATGTATTCATTTTTTAAATGCGCTTTTTGGACTGCTGACAAAGCATAAAATACGCTTACGTTGTTAAAAAAATTAGTTGTTTCGCTTTGTTAAACAGTGGAGGTGTAGCACTTAGCAACATGGCGGCCAAAAATTATTCCAACATAGTAACAAAAATATTAATGATCGTTTAAAAAAGCAGTTATAATCCAAGACAAGAAGACATAAGGTTTGTCCCATAATCTTACATTTATTATATCAGAGCTTTCAGGGTACATTTATCCAAAACAGAAATACAAACGATAAAAAGAAACACCAACACTGTAAGACACAACTGGATTTTTAGCAGGACACACATAATAAACAATGACTGGTCAAAGATGGAAAAAACATACAAAGCAAAGGAAAATTTGAGAACCTTTTCCAATGTTTAAAACACTGTGGAACTTTTAAACCTTAATTTCAATAAAATGATCACATATAGGGTACAAAACTGAGCAAAGCAGTAATAGGCTTTAAATGACATACTAAATGTCAGACAACACAGACTGCAGCAACATACAGAAATACCACACAGATGACATACTTTGAAAACAGAGCTAGCACATTCTCATAAATCCACTAATCGCAGATGAGTAATTATTTGAAACCTTTGTTTAAAATGTACTTCAACAAAACACAACCCTGCTCCATAACAAAAACAATGAGGTCAACGGCCCAGTCCTATCACCATCAGTGCACAAAACATCATCTGCGTTGAAGCATGCAAGAAACAAGGCATCTTCTCTTTTGCTGTAAAGTCCATTCCAAACCTTAGATAGCATCAAATGGAGCTCGGATGTTTTGAACTAATGGTTTAAGGGCCAAAAGTAAATGTTCAGTCTTTTCACTTAACTTTTAGTAAATTCAACTAAGGACATAAAGACTGCTATTTATCAGCAGTACTGTTAATTTCAGTTATATTATTCTATTTTTCCTGAAATAGATCTGTGAGGTAAACCTTTAATCACTCTGTCATATCACAGCCCATCAATCCCTGCAAGGGGAGGAAGTTTATTTAGAGCATATTGGATATACTATAAAATAAATTAGTATTTGGAAAACACACTAATCTGAGGCCTGCTGTTAGGGACAAGCTATAACATCATACATAGAGGAGGCTATAGTGATGTTTTTCCTGTTTTTCTTTTTACTTTTTGGCTTTTCCCTGAGCAGCAACAGCCTCCATGGCTTTGCGTACGGTCTCCTCGTCTCCCAGGAACTGCATCGGCTTCACTGGCTTCAAGTTCTTGTCGAGCTCATAGAGGATCGGGATGCCTGTTGGCAGGTTCAGCTCCATGATTGCTTCATCTGACATTCCTACAGAAGGCAGTGCACAGGAAAAAAAAAAAACTGTTGACAAGGATGCAGCAGAAAACGTATGAAAAGTGATCTCATCATTTATGTCAGTAAAAAGTAACACTCGGAACAGGAAATGTTGAAGCAATTACTGGTCAAATAAAAATGTATTTTATGTATAATTTTGGGACCCTGCTAGGTTTGTGGATGTGCTACAGACAGCCTTGTTAGCAAATGGCGAGAACCCATGATTTGAAAGGTACCAGATAAGGCCTTCTAAATAAACAGAGTTTAATGATGCGTCAGCACCCACCCTCCAGGTGCTTGACAATTCCCCTCAAACTGTTTCCGTGGGCAGCGATGAGCACCCGCTTCCCCTGTTTGATCTGAGGTGCGATCTCGTCGTTCCAGAAAGGTAGCGCACGTGCGATGGTGTCTTTAAGGCTCTCGCAGGATGGCAGCTGGTCGTCAGTTAGGTCTGCGTAGCGGCGGTCCTGCAAAGACAATAACATCCTTGTTTTTTAAAAAAGGGTAGAAAACAGAGTTTGGACAGAAAAAAATAAAAGACATCTTATTTTGAATGTTATAATCTGACAATGTTTGGTCATAAATAGTATTGTTAATGTTATACAAATGTCACATATAAAGCATATTCATGCTCTAAAGCAGAGGTATCCAAAGTGGGGCCCGCGGGCCAAAATTGACCCACCTAGACATTTAATTTGGACCATCATCCTATGTAAACACACTAAATTTCCACTTAGTCATTCCATTCATCGGCTCTATGCCTAAATAAGAAGCTGTAGTGCAGATAGTCTTCAATCATGACACTTGCTTTATCATTAAACATGAAATACAAGTAACTACAAGAGACATTTAGATTAAGCACACGTATTGTAGGCGCCATTTATCCTTTCTGGTGTTTATTGCCACCAGGGGGCGTATTTAATTTTGAGTTCTGAGTGTCTGATGGGGGGATGGGTTATTTAAGGTCAACCATGATTCTATTCAGGTGTTGTTAATAGGTAGAGGCAAACAGTTTTCTACTGTGCTTGGTTTTGGATGTATGTCGAATTTATGTGGATCTTAAGGGAAACAGTAAGACAATGGACATTGTACTGAAAATAAATGACTTTATTTTAAGTCAAACGGAAGATCGGCATGCTGAATCTTAATTGAGCGCACGAAAAACCAATGCCTTTCAAGAACAACCACCAGTAGCCTAAAATATAGGATTTAGCCGCTACATGTATATTTGCACACATAAGACCACAAATACTCATATTTTATCGATGTATGAATTGTCCCACGAGTGCGTGCTGCCCAAGCGTACATCAAACTCCATGTGCATGGGCTAAAAACAACAAACGTCGGCCACCACATTTGCTGCCAGTTTAATCGTAGAAAATAAATTAACTTTACCTAAAAAGTATTTGCATTTCATGTATTATATTATTGCATTTGGCACGCAGCCTTCAGATAGATTTTGGTTTTGGCCCTCTTGTGGGGAAAAAAAAAAGTCTGGGCACCCCTGCTCTAAAGATATGATCTGATAGATTGAACAACCACCCCTTTATTCAATGAGAACCTAAATGTAAGAAATGCCATTATACTAGAAACATCTGCCCACCTCTGTCAAGACGTTATCAATTTGGCTCCACCTTTACTAAACTTTGAACTTGAATGCAAAAAAAAAAAAAAAAGAAAAGAAAAAAAATCAATGTTACCAGTTACATATTAACTCTACAAGCTATTTGGTAATAATGTTGACAACACTGCAAGCAAATAGTACGGTATATATTGCACCACAATGGTTGTAACTTAAGTGTATAAAAAAGTAAAAGCTTTTGACATTTAGGTGGATTTTGCTGCAGACAAAAGACCATTCATGACCTTTTGTCCACTGTTGTCCTATTGCTGATTTCACCCAGGTTTCTTATTTGTTTTTCGTTGGTCAATGTGTACGAAACCTCTCCTTTACCTTACATGTCAACAAAAGCTCCTTGTCTGTGTATTTGCCCTGAAGATATCGTATCTCACCTTGCTGATGATGCTGTAGTAGTCATGGTCTGGGCCCATAGGAGGAGGGGGGATGTCAAACGAGCGCCTCCAGATCTTGACTTGAGCCTCTCCGTGCTTGGCGGCCGTCTCAGCCTTGTTCAGTCCCGTCAGGCCTCCGTAGTGGCGCTCGTTGAGCCGCCAGGTCCGGTGCACCGGGACCCACATCTGGTCGATGCTGTCCAAGACGAACCACAGTGTCCTGATGGCTCGCTTCAGCACGGAGGTGTAGCAAATATCGAACTCGTACCCAGCGTCTGTGAAGTTTCAGATGAGAATGAAATGTTTTTCTTATTTCATAAACTTTATTGATTTTCCATTTATACCATCCGTTATCATCATATTGCATCCTCAAACCATGGAAACATTATGAGCTGCATTTTTCTCACAACACGTTCAACAGCAGCTCTATTGTGCATGTCTTTTTTTAAAAGATAAAATCTGTCTACATTTTTTTAAACAAAATTATTTCCATAGATTGAATAGTTGTTACCGTTAACAAAGATAATAATTTGAAAAACACTTTACTTAGAGTTTTTATTTGATACTTTAATAATCCCAAATCCCCATTCCATTGTTGCAATAAAAATCTCAGAAAGAAAACCACAAGACATAAATTAAAAACATGTGGCATACTGTAGTATTTATAAAGACTGCAAATAAGATGTGCTTCATTAATTTATATACATATTTTGTTCATTAATTGATTAATAAAGGGTACTATAAAGCATTTTCAGAGCCTAAAATGATGTTTTCAGCTGGAATATTTGGAGACACCAAGCTCAGTTACTATTTTCCCCAAAGTAATAATAATAATAAAAAATAAAAAAAGGTATTAAAATGATTTGACTCAGCTGTGTTGTTGTATACATAATAAGCACATATAAAGCTCTTGTTTTAAATTTTAGGCCTACATATTGTTGTTTTGTAGCAGTCAGTGTGATATGACTGCACCACTGCCTGCTGGATCGTTTCAGTTCATCACTTGATGTCTGCAGCGGTGATGACGCAGAGCTGGTCAAACACAACATTACACCGGGCATTATGACCGAGGAAAACTAAACCCGACGAGTTTCTCACCTTTCAGGGCCTGTCCTCCTCTCTTCGCCTCCTTCTCCCCGGTTTCGCTCAGATCTGCATCGAACCAGCCGCAGAAGCGATTCTCCTGGTTCCAGTTGCTCTCTCCGTGGCGAATCAGCACTATTTTGTAGACGGCCATGATTGCTGTTCACCTGTTTCTGTTGATGGCTTCAAATAATGTAAAATAACAGGATGAGCTGATGTTAACAGTGGATGCTGCGGCTGTTGGAAAGCGAACTAGCAGTGGAAGGAAGCAGACGGGTCAAATCTCAGCCGTCGAACCTTTTTATTCTGCGGATTGGTTAGTTTTTTACTTCCGGGTTTCACCGACCAATGATATTCGCTGAGGTTTTTCTCCCGACCAATGGCACAATGGCAGGGGTGGGCGTCATCAGCTTCATGACCTTCATGTATTCTACCATTGCATTGGAATAGAGATGAGAGATCTCTGTCAAAACCTCAATAAATAGGGTACAAATTGATTAAACTAATAAATTTTATTCAACTTAGCAATAGAAATAAGAAATAAACACATTTCCTGTTTGGAAGTAGTAAGTACAAATCTGCAAATATCATACTTTTGAATGCAATTTGTCTCATGTAAACAACTGTCTTGTTATAAAAAACAAAAAATAATAAATAAACAACAACAATAATCATACACTTATTCAGAAAACATCAAAAAGCATTTGGTAAAGTTAGTTTTGGTTTAATTAAAGTTAAGTTGTTTGAAAATATGTTCAATTTATTATTTTTTGTTGTTATTTCTTAAAGATATTCCACCTCTTTTGCCTAATGTGTCCTCACTTCAAATAAAAACGTGTAGTTCCTGGATTTTGAGCTTAAACTGGAGTCATTAGAGCTAGAGAGTAAATAAATAAATAAATCCACTTTTTTAATCTCATATTTTAAATTTTAGACCTCTGTTGGGTTTTTGCCAAAGGCTTTCAGCGTAGCTAACATTATTTTCTATAAGGTAATTAAATATTAAAAACAAACAAAACAGATGAAATAAAGATCTTTAGTGTGTTAGAACCTGGTTAAAAAAAAAAGGAAAAAAAAAGAAAAAAGTTCTACGGCTCAATCCCACCATCTTGTGGATAAATAAAGAATTGCAAACTGAGCAGGTGCTTTTAGAAACATGCAGCAAAAGTTTCATAAAAAAATTAACTTTAAACTAAGAAGATTTGTTATTTTTAAAGCCAATTAGTGACGTCAGAAACTGGTCTTTCTGTGACCACAAATAATTATTTTAGTTTTGTTTGCATTCTGGACATTATTTTAGCCTTTTGACGCAAACTCGGAGGGCATTTGTACTGTTTTTTTTCTCCAGTAAAGTAACCATCAAAGAGTCACAAAAACATAATTACTGTCTTTAATGTTTTGTTAACATAAAGTTTTATGTTAAACTTTTAAATGGGGTTTACTTCTTTTCTAAGACGTGTCCTCTGATTTAAATGGCTGAGTGGTAAGAAAATGCATATGACTTGCAAAAAAAAAAAAAAGGTCAAACAGGAAATCATCAGTTCATCCACCCTTTCCTTCCTCTCAGCCTTTCTTGGATTTGTTCTTCCATTCTAAAGGAAGTGGTGGTATTTTCAAAGCTCTATAAATAGCTGCCATTATTGCCCACCACTGAATGTCATTACCCTTTAAACACCACACGAACACTGGGTCTATTCAGAAATATGGCTTTTTCCAGATGTTTATAGTTTCCTAACATGCAACTTATGTAAGGAAGTAATAAAATGATATGAGACAAATAAGGCTGCCACGCCCGCCTCTGTGCCAACTCAAACCTCACACAGACAGAAAATGTCATACTGAGATCTCTGCTCGGCATTTAGCTTATTTTTTTTACGCACCTTCCTCTTGTTATTTTTCCCTCAGCAGTGGAATGTGCATCTCAGCAGCAGCACTTAAAAAAATGTGGTGAACAGGGCACCGCTGTGAGTGTGAGTGGGCCTCTGTGTTTTTGTGTGTCACGTGGGAACGTGTAGACTCCCAGGCCAGACAGGAGACAGAAGACTGGCTGCAAACAAGAATTTGCATCAGAACATGGGTGGGCACGACTAGTTCAGGCTACTCTCTGGAAATATGCAGATTAAAGAAAACACTTGACTCGGAAAACTTTTGAGTTACAGTACCTGTCATGTTGAATGTGCAGAAAAGCGAATAATGTTGAAGGGACACGTGCACATTCACTTTACGGGACTAATATCACAAGCATGAAAAAAGTTGTTGGGCAGTGTAGCCTCTCAACAAGTTTCATTATAAAAATCACTTATTTTTTTCAGTCAGCAGTTTCTATCCCTGAATTTATGTGAGAATAAAATAAGGTAAAGTTAGGTTTTATAAATTAATCATTCAATGCCCTGAAACTGTTATATTACTTTGCTAAAATGTGTAACTTTTGATGGAGCATCTGCAGGCAGTCGGGTGTTTAGTTCTGCTTTTTGGTAAAGCCTAAAGCTATTCAGACATAAAACAATATTATATAAAAAATAACATTTCCCTGTTGTCTTTTGTGATATGTATATACATTTAATTCACAGAATAATTTAAATACATTTGTATGCTTATCATGATGATGAAATCTACAATGTTGCAGCTTTTGTTTTGAATGAGGTATTTGTTCATTCTTTCACAAAAATATGAACTCCTTCCGTTTATAAAATTTGAAAGATTACCCCGTCTTTTCTGCTCATTTTATGTCCGTGTAAACAAATAGTTTGTGTTCAGCATTACACAAGTTTTCAGTCGATCTTAACTTAGTATAGTAAAGTTTTAGTAAAAGGATGTATTTTTTTTATTAAAGTGTGCAATTTAATGAATAAAAACACTTTTTAAATATCCTATTTATTGTTTCAACATATTTATAAAAACGTTTTCACTCACATTTTACCTCAATTTATTCTACAGAAACAGAAATTAAATGCGATAAACGTGGCTTAAAAGTTGAATGTTTTATCCCTCGTAAAAAAGACAATTGAAACCTTTTTAAATCAGTCGTTTAATCTGCTAAATGTCTGACAAGAGCTTCCTAAAAAACTCCATTCAGTTTCACAACGTGGGCAAACAGTGGGACTTTATGATTCAATTTTGTACTTCCTGCCAGGAAAGTTTCATTAGTTTTTCTGGTAAGTTCATAGCAGCAGGATGTTTTCAGAGAGGAGGAGGAGAACTTGAAGGAGCTCTGGTGACTTATTTATTTTTTTAAATGAGTGAACACATGCAGAATATGTACAGCGGGTAAAATAAGTATTGAACACGTCACCATTTTCTCAGTAAATATATTACTAGAGGTGCTAATGACATGAAATTTTCACCAGATGTTGGTAACAACCCAAGTGATCCATACATACAAAGAAATCAAACCATAAATGTCCAGAAATGAAGTTATTTGTAATAACGTGGAATGGCACAGGGAAAAAGTATTGAACACATGAAGAAAGGGAGGTGTAAAAAGGCATGGAAAGCCAAGACACCAGCTGAACTCTCTCAGTAATTAGAAAGCAAGCCTGCCCCTTGTCAGTGCAAGTTAATATCAGCTGGTTCAGTCCCAAATGATGGCCAGGTATCACACAAGAACCATCTGATGATGGGTAAAAGTAAAGAGCTCCCTCAAGACCTTCACAACCTTATTGTTGCAAAGCATAATGATGGCATCGGTTACAGAAGAATGTCTAAACTTCTGAAGGTTCCAGTGAGCACTGTTGGGGCCATAATTCAGAAGTGGAAAGAACATTATTTCACCATAAACCGACCACGACCAGGTGCTCCTCACAAGATTTCTGACAGAGGAGTGAAAAGAATTATCAGAAGAGTTGTCCAAGAGCCAAGGACCACTTGTGGAGAGCTTCAGAAAGACCTGGAATTAGCAGGTACGATTGTTTCAAAGAAAACAATAAGTAATGCACTGAACCACCATGGCCTGGATGTACGCTCACCACGCAAGACTCCACTGCTGAAGAAACAGCATGTTGACGCTCCTTTAAAGTTTGCTGCGCAACATTTAAACAAGCCTGTGTAATACTGGGAGAATATAGTCTGGTCAGATGAGACCAACATTGAACTGTTTGGATGCCAGAATACACATCATGTTTGGAGGTCAAATGGCACTGCACATCAGCCCAAAAACACCATACCAACAGTGAAGTTTGGAGGTGGGAACATCATGGTGTGGGGCTGTTTTTCAGCATATGGTACTGGCAAACTTCAAATAATTGAAGGAAGGATGAGTGGAAAAATGTACAGAGACATTCTTGATAAAAATCTGCTTCCATCTACCAGGATGATGAAGATGAAACGTGGCTGGACATTTCAGCAAGACAATGAGCCCAAACACAAAGCCAAGGAAACTCTCAGTTGGTTTCAGAGAAAGAAACTAAAGCTGCTGGAATGGCCCAGCCAATCACCTGACCTGAATCCAACAGAAAATCTATGGAAAGAACTAAAGATCAGAGTTCATAGAAGAGGTCCACGAAACCTTCAAGATTTGAAGACTGTTTGTGTGGAAGAATGGGCCAAAATCACACCTGAGCAATGCATGCCACTAGTTTCTCCATACAGGAGGCGTCTTGAAGCTGTCATTGCCAACAAAGGCTTTTGTACAAAGTATTAGATAAATTTCAGTAAGTGTGTTCAATACTTTTTCCCTGTGCCATTCCACATTATTAMAAATAACTTCATTTCTGGACATTTATGGTTTGATTTCTTTGTATGTATGGATCACTTGGGTTGTTACCAACATCTGGTGAAAATTTCATGTCATCAGCACTTCTAGTAATATATTTACTGAGAAAAATGTTGACGTGTTCAATACTTATTTTACCCGCTGTATCAAACAACTGCCACTGCAAAACTAAACCTGACTTTCTGTTCTATTAACAGGATTTAGGGAGGTTTTTTTTTTTACTGTTCAAATACAAAAACAAAGCTTTTTTAGTGCCTGTGTTTGTGTAAAAGATTCCAGCCTTGTTACCTGGGATGTGATGTTTAAGAGGGGCTGTGAGCTCAAAGTGAATCTCTGGCTTTGATAGCCTGTTTTTGTGAGTTGTCCAAGACTTCAATGAGTCACCATAGTTACTGTCAGTAGCTTTGAGCCCTGGATTTGGTGCTTTATTCATGCAGCACACAGAGCTGCTGTGACACGTGGACGGGACAACATTTCTGTGGAGCTCTCCGGTGGGAGAAGGGTGGGTGGGATTGTGTGAGAGAAAAAAAGAGGCAGAGGATAAGTCCTTTACTTCTGTGGAGGTGCAGGTTTCTGTCAGCTGGGTAACATTAACCCTTTCCCCTGCTCCTGAAGCTCAGGTCATCCCAGCATCTTAGAATGAACTCAGCTCTGACAAAAGTGACCAAACTGTGAAGCTGGGTTCTGATGAAACATGTTTTATGCTGACTCAGCAAATGAGACAATGAATCATCTTCTGCTTCGTTTTCATTGGCCAGAGTTAAGCTCACTTCCAGACCCCAAACGGATGGTTCCCGGTAAGAACCAGCCTCCTCCCAGATGTTTTTTTTTCATTGTTCTTTACAAGCACACACCACTATGTCTCTCTATCCTTGTGGGGACTTTCTATTGACTTCCATTCATTTTTTGGAAATTTTATACCCTAATCCCAACAAGTTACCCTAAAATTAACCTCACCTGACCCTAAAACTAACCTAAACTCAATTCACACATTGGTCCTAAACCTACCCCCCACCCCCACACACATGCTCTATATTACATGCATGTGTTTGTGTGAGTGGCTAGATCACTTCTCTGACAATGGATCTCCCACCTCTTTCATGTGCTTTTGCTCTCAGCTGACTGGCTGGGATGTTTAATCTCCTCTACAGGAAGTTCCTGCAGGCTGAGGTCACTGATCCTCCCAAAATATGTGTGTCATTTGTAAAAAAAAAAACCAGCTCTTCCTCCAAATTAACGACTGAGCGCTGATTTCGGAAAGCTCTCGTCCTCAAACAAAGAGTCAAAAACGAACCAAAACATCTCACTGCTTCTCAGTCTACACCCTTTATTCATATTATTTATTAATGATACACACGCTAGCACCAGTCAGATCCCTGTTGTGGAAGTTGTTGTCACAACCTATTGAGTGTACAGCATTTTGACAAAACATGAAATGTTAAAAGTTCAAAACACCTGGATGAAAACATAGCAGGTATAAGTTAATTGCTGTCTTATAAAAAAACATATAAAGAATAACAAAAATGTATAAAAGTAACCAAAAAAATAGCTATATATGGAGCAAGTTTAACACTCAAGAACAAATCTAACCATATATTAATAATGTTTTCCACTTTTACCTCCTCTTTATGTTGTTATTTTTGGTTCTTTTTGAGGGAAATCACTCATATTAAGCTCTAACATTGTTTTTTTTCTGCACATAACCAAACTCCCATAATCCTCTGGGCTCGTGCTGGAGCTGCACCAGCCTCAGCGCGGTGGTGACAGTTTGGGAACGAGGAGGCAGCAGATCTTTAATGACAGTGAAGTGAACTATTCCTCATCTTGCAGTGGACGCCTCGCCGCGCGGCCCCCTCAGAAGACCGTCTTCTCCCCCCGGTGCTTCCTGCGCCCCTCATAAAGAACGCTCAGCAGGTAAGTGACGCAGCACAGGCAGGCGAACACGGAGGCCGCCAGGTAGACCTTGTACAGACAGAAGTGCGCGTACTGGTCCAGGTTGCAGTAGGCGTTGCGCTCCGTCCTGTGGATCATGAGCCCTATGGCGGGCAGGTAGAGCAGGGCGGCGGTCACGTCGTGCGCCAGGTTGGCGCACAGCCAGCGCGGCCCCCCCAGCAGCGGGACCAGGTCCTGCTTGTCCAGGAGGGTGAGGAAGAACAGCGCGAGGGTGAGGAGCCAGAAGAGCACCGCCACGAACAGCACGAAGTGAACGGGGCCCTCGTATTTGTTGGCGGCGATGGTGACCCACAGCCCGGCTCCGAACACGACCTGCAGGATCCGGGTGATCCCCAAGAAGCTCCCGAGGAACTTCAGGATGTTCTGCTTCACCTGCGGCGGGGGAGGCTGGGGTGGCATCTCTGTCCTCCTCTCGGGTCAGTCGCGGGTTTCAGTCTTTTTTTCCCCAACAGGGCGGCCGTTGTTTTTTTTTTTTAAATTAGTTTGTTTTTTGGCCAGCTGCAAACAGCTGGGGAAAAAAGATGAACAAAACTGGAAGTGCGAGGTTTAGAGGGCGGAAACAGGCTCCAACAAAAATGCCAAAGTTTGGGTGTAAACAGGAACTTTCTGTTCTTTCCACAGCCCCGGGGTTTTGAAATCACAGACCCTCTCGCATGTTTCGTCTTTTCCGTTTCCTCTGTTGGATGTAGAGTCAGTGTTGGGGGGGTGGCTGTGTGATGGGGAGAGGGGGGTGGTCTGTAATTGAAACCCTGCTCCTCCTCTGACGGGACTCATCTGTGCACGCTGCTGTATTATTAGTTTTTGTTTCTTTTACGCACACAGTGTTTCCCCTGAACCATATTCCCAAATGTTTTATTTTTTTTAATCTCTCTTCAACAGTAAGACTTGTTCTGTTCAGTTTGACCTGAATCCGTCTGATGAGTCTTGTCCTGCTCGTGCGTCACTCCCCGGCGCGGGATCCTCACATGTCGCGTTCTTTGCACACAGAAACAGACGGTGCCCGCTGCAGCCCAGGCCCTGCTGACGTCAGGAACAAGTTTACAGATTGCTCGTGCTACGTGGCCAGAGGGCGGAGCTAACCACCAATCCCCGCCCGTCCCGTCCATTGATTGGTGGAAATTGGCTTTGCTCAACCTGGATGGGCGGGGGGCGCGCGGACATTACGCCACTCTTTTGTCTGGTTGTTATATTTGTCTGCTTTCTGACCACTGAAGCTGAAGCTCCCTACAAATACCCCAACAGCAGCACTCAATGTGACAGTAAGGGACTTTTATTATCTTTGGGTAAGCAATTTCTCTCTTTTTTATTTATTATTTTATTAATGCTCACATGACTGTCATAGGATTGCTCATTTTTAACCTTGCGTCATTGCGCACAACTGCACAATTCAACTTGGTTTTAGTGTTTAAACGTTTAGTTTTGAAGATTAAATGTCACACAAGAAAATATGTATTCTTGTTTTCAGTTTATTATCACTTTACAGATTGCACATCACAGGTTTATCCACAAACTCAGTCCTGTGAAGACAGTGTGAATAAGTTCTGACCCAGCGGTGAATCCTGTTTGACGAGTTAATTAACATATAAGCAACAGTTTTTGACTTGAAGCAGGAAGTGAAACTCATTTTGAATTATAAATAAGTTCTTTAACCCAAAGAGAAGAAGAGTTTCAACATGTAACTCAAAAGGCCTGTGATTTCGCCATAACCTCAATCGAATATTAATACAGCAAAGGTTGCATTTTTTTTTGAAGAGTCAGCTGAAAACCAGGAATGAGAAGCTAAGTCAGATCAAAGATACACAAATGAGTTTCAGAAAGCACTGGGAAGTAAGGGTGCAGAGGGTGAAGCAGCACCTGTCTTCCCCTGACGGTGGCACAGGGGGTGGCCGCTTCATTCATCATGACACTGGGATACGTATTTGTCCATCTAATTACAATCTTATCTCCATCCATCCATCCATTTTCTGTACACGCTTCTTCCTTTTCAGGGTCGCGGGGGTCACTGGTGCCCATATCCAGCAGTCACAGTGCGAGGGGCGGGGTACACCCTGGACAGGTCGCAAGTCCATCACAATCTTACCTCTAAAAGTATAAATACTGCACTGACAGATAATTTAAAATTCAAATTCAAATAAAAAAAATATTAATTTCATTAAAAATACAATTCACAATAATAAAAAATAAACCAAAAAATATACAAATCAAAATAAGAAAGTTAGCAGAAGAAGAATAAATCTTATGTCTGCCCCTTTTCAACTCAGAATATATTCAAACGAAACATAATTTACAAAACAATACTAAATAACATAAAAAACTAAACTAAATAAAAATAAAAACAACATAAAAACATCAACTCAAACAACAAATCAAATAGCTTCACATTTCACTTAATTTGAGAAGATTCAGACACAAATTAAGTGAAATAATCTGCCAGTCCAGGAAGACAATTGCACTTGCTTCTTGAAATAAGGAAAAAATATCCAGGAAAACAAGATTAAATAATCACACACATTCGTTTAATAGATCAGTCTTAAAACAAGATTGAAAACATGGCTATAAGAGTGAAAGAGTACATTCTGAAACCTGATAACAAAGGAACATATACAGTATATTGGTTGCATTTTTTTCACCTTTGCATTTCATTATTTATCTATTTATCTCTCTGTCTCACACACAAACTCTACTGTTGTCGTTGTCGTCATCATCAAAACATGGACCCCCTTGAGCAAACTGATTTATTGTAAATTGGACAAAACCTTCATCAACTTCAAGCATACAGGAAAACTAACAGATTGATTTAACTTTAAACAGCTGAAAAAAAAAAAACAGATTTACCAGAAAGTCAGTATAAAAGTTCTGTTGTTGGTCATTTAGTTAATTCTGACTTGGAAGCGTCCCATTTCCAAATGGAAGAACAACAGAGTGCGTAACCATCTGCTGTGTAATTGGCTTAAAGTGCTGATCGTCACTCGCCTTCTTGTAGGATTAAAGAATTAATCAGTCACTCAATCAACATTTACTTCTAGAGCCCTTTACAAAAACCAGAAGGTGCTTAAAGTGCTTCACAGTACGCAAGTTAAAATGGACAGAACAACACAAAACTGAGAGTTGCAGATTTACAGCTGACGGTTTGGGATTTGTTTAGTTTTTGTTCTTTGCGTCAGAAAGTTTTGTTCTGCCACTGATTGCTGCTCAAAAAATTTCCATTAGTCATATAATGTATTACTTTTTTTTAACCTGAGCTGTAACCTGAAGTTATTTTTGCATATTCCTTTCCCACAGAGTTAACACAACTGTATGCCACTTGCCCTGCGTATCTCTGGATGGATACCGGAGCCGCCTCCCCATCTCCCTCGGTGCTGGTGGGTCCTTCCTCCTCACCGTGGCGCCTGACTGACAGGAGAAACAGAAAGGCGGGCTCGGCCAACATTTTCAGCAGCGTGAATCTCTGGCAGCTCCAGAGACTGTTCAGCGCAGCCGGAGACCAGGATGCCGAGCAGAGGGCCCAGCTGATTTGGAGCCACAGAGGCGAGGCGGAGCTGGCTCAGGCCTTAATTGGACTGAGAGCTCGGAGTCAGCGAAGAGGGCTGAGAACTAACGGGAGAGATGCTCTGGGCTCTCAATGGCTGCGAGCCTTCAATCACCTCAGGTAAAGCCACCTATATATAAAATCTCTCATGTGTTTGTAAAAAAAAAAAAGAGACTTTTCTAGTTGTTGGTAACTATTTTTATCGCTCAGAATTGGAGAGAGCTCACTGACCAGACATGGAAAGGATGCCGAGGAGAGTGATTACAAATCAGAGCCTCGGGGAAGTCAAGAACCCCACAGACACAACTCAGTGAGAGCACCAGCACAAGAAAACGGGGCCAAATTAGCACTAACTGAGAACCAAGGCACTAAAGGAGCCTCTGAGAGGCCAGCCAAGTCCAGCTCAGGACTGAGGAGAGGAGGAGATCCAGAGAGATACCTCCACCGTATACTGCACTGAAGAGACAAACCTCCTGGGGACAGAGACACTCATTGTCCTCTAGCTTATATTGAAAATATATTAGGATATTCTCTAATATTGTTTCATCTGGTGACACTTTTACATCGCATTGATGATGCTTGGAAACAGCATATCGTGAAAGTAACAACGCATATTGATGATAAATTATTTGGGATGAAATTTAGACCAATGTTGGCAAAGTTACTTAGAAAAGGACTTCTTTAATTGAGTGCATTCAGCACTGCATTCCAGATGTGCTCAGCGATGTTTCCACTCACTAAATGCCATACCTTTTTGTATATGTTGAAAATAGTTTGCACTAATGACTGTCACAAAAAGTTAAGTATTAATGGGTAATGCATTAATAGTTAATGTGGATTTTGCTTGTTTATGTTTCTCTGGTCTAACTACCAGGGTCAATTCACCAAATGTTACTTTACAATTTGCACTTGCAATAGCTTCAAAGTTCAACTGGTTTAAAAAAATATAAATATAAAAGCGACTAAAGTCTGGTTTTTATGGTGCATCTTATAGAGGATAAAGACATAATGATGGCGTGTTACATGTAAAATCCCAATGGTTGAAGCTGGTTTTTGAATTGAAGCTATTTGATATGAAAATGTTTGTTTTTACTTTTATTTTTATCTTTTAACAAACTTTTTTGTTGTGCATTTTTAGGCACTGATGTATTCAGGTAAACAGCTCTGCTGAGAAACCAAAGATAAGCAGGCCAAAACCTTGTTACACATGGAAAATTAAAATATTTTTATTATTGCTCAGAAAATGCAGAAAAAAAACCAAACTTCACAAAAAATATTTGAAAAGATGATTTTTTAAAAATATTAATGTGTCCCATTTTGAGTTACAACAATAAAATAAAACATTTTGTCTTTCTCTTGGTTCTTCTGTTTTTATTTTCCCTTAGTCTTTGTTTCTTCATTCATTTCTTCCTTCCTTCCTTCCTTCCTTCCTTCCTTCCTTCCTTCCTTCTATTTTTCTGCAGTTTGGAAAACAGCTCATTAGACTCAGTGATGATAATAATGTTGAGAAAGACATAATAGTTCTGACAATATTCTGTATTTTATTGTCAGTTCTCTTAAAATTACTTATGCAACTTAAAAACTGCATAAAAATAAACAAATATTAATACGAGCCGTTAGATGTAGAAAACAAAGAACCATTCTGAGGTGGTGTGGTTTATTAGAAGCTGTCACATTGTGCCAACCTGCAGTCACTAGATGGCGCTAGCAGTTTTATTTTGAAAGGCAGAGCTGTGAGTTGGAAATAGCTCATCCTTCAGATTTTCTTTTGGCAGAACTCTCCCATCAGAAAACTTTAGATCAGAGATTCTCGAGCCATTTGGGTCTGGGGACTCCTTACAAGGGAAAAAAAAACAGGGACCCCCCCATAAACCCCATGCTGTTTTAAAAGGTAATTTATTGTCATTTCAACCCCTAAATGCCATGGGGATATATATTTTCATTAAGTTTATTATGCTTGTTTTATTAGTTCATTGTTCCCCATGCATTTTTAAAAATAAAAACCAAATTAACATTTAAGTAAAAATGTTTGAGGACCCCCAAGATGCCTCTCGCGGACCCCTGGGGGTCCAGGGACCCCAGTTTGAGAACCTCTGCTTTAGATGACCGTACAGAGCTGAGACTAAATCACATTAAAATGTATCAACGTCAGTCTCAGACACCTGTTTTACTTTATTGAAAAAAAAATCTTCTGAAACCAGTAAAATTTAAAAATGTGGTGCATTTGGTACTTTAGCCTCTAAATTCTTAGCAATCTGCACACTTCCTGTTAATCCAGGAATTACTGAGTGAATCAAAAAAAGGAGAAACTTGCAGATAGAGTGCTCAGTGTGTGTCCTGGGTTGACTTGGAGGTGCACGGTTGGAGCGGTGACAGAAGTGAGGCCAGACTGGCTCAGGCTTTATGAGGTGCAGAAAGCTCAGCTGATTCCCTCAAACACACAGAAAGCAGCTGACAGGCTCAGACCTAATCCCCCCTTTGCTGAACATCTCACCTTGTGTTAAAGTACAGTTCTCTGGGGCATTTTACTGCTTATTTCAACTTTTATTCACTCCATAAGCCTTGGGACAGTGAATGATATGTGGAATGATGATACAGCAGTAACACAGCTGCAGCTAGATTCACTCTTTAGTTTTCCTGTCGGTGCAGCATGTGTGCACTTATTTCTGCAGAACGAGCACTTTATCTCATGATCCATACAGGGGATTTTGCTCATGATACTTCTGTATTCTCAGCACGGACCTGTTCTGGACAAGCTGTAAACTGTTATGCTGGTGCTTTTCTCTTAATGAAAAATACATACAGCCGCCGTCATCATTTATATTCAAGAGTTCAGGGCAGCGCTGCTATTTGTGGCTGTTTTTCATAATAATGCACACTGTTCAGACGTTGATTTAAATTATAATCATGCATGTAACCTATTTAATCTAAATGTAGGTTGAGATAGTTGCAGAAAACAATTAATTACGCTGACTTCTAATTCTGTTCAAGTTATAATTCTCCACGCAATTCGCTCGGGTGGCGACCTCAGATTCCTGTGTGGTACATAGATGCCTTTCAGGCACATCTTAGAGGATTTTTTTTAAAGTTATGTGCATACAAATGAACATCTTTATGCTTCCAAAAGTCTGAGTCTAATTTAGTAGTTAATAAAAACTGACAGAGGAAAAAGCTTCTCTATGCAGTGTTGCATCAGGACTTGTAAATGACTTGTTTTTCTTCTGGCACGCTATGTATGCCAGTTTTTGAACAAAAATGTAAAATAAAAAGTGAGTTGAACAAAAATGTTGGGCTTTTTTGTATCTAATGGAGTTTTAATGTTATCTGTGTTAGCTGTCCACTTATTTGCTGGTGCATCCCAAGACAAATGTCTTTAGTTTTCTCACTCTGGTCAGCACAGGAATAAATTACAAAAAGTGACAAACATTTGGTGCTGGGTTTCCTGCAGCTCTCTTAAAAAAAAGGCAGAGAACTATTAACTTCGGCTCTACTTTGCATTTTGATTAAATCCTCTTTTGTGGCGATTGTAAATTACATCCACCTCTCTGCCTGTCAACTAAATCTGCCATCTAAATGACATTTTACTTGACGACAATGTTTTAAAGTGTCTCTTTCCAGCGGAAACATCTCAGATATCGTCTGTTTTTCCCAGTTTTGCTTTCCAGACATTTTTATTAAGGATGAATTGAGGCAAAGCTGAAAGATATGAGTGACAGCTGTATCTGGAACATAGAGAGCATATCTGATGTTTCCAACTAAGAAAATACTTTTTTTCCCCCTCCAATCTTTGTGTGTTTATGTGTGACTGACAGCGGAAGTCGTACAGGGGGATCTTGGATAGGCAAGGATCTGGGAATAGAATCTGTCCCTGATGCTTGGTAATTAGAGCAGGGAACAGTAATTAGTGAAATGATACATACAGAATATGCTCCCTGTGTTCTGATAACAATCCACCACACACACACACACACACACACACACACACACACAAACACACACACACACACACACACACACACACACACACACACACACACACACACACACATACACACACACACACACACACACGCACACACAAGTTTTTTGTGCACTCTGTGTTTTTCTTTGTTCGGGGAAGAACCCCAGAACACTGCAGCACAACATTCATTGTTATTCCTTTGCTCTGTGCCACTGTGTGGCTTTGCTCTTATTCTCTATACAGCTCAGTCTCTAGTTGACTCCTGCCGTCTCCATAAAGACACAACGCTGCCTTCCTGCTCCTTTGAGGTAAACACACAACATCTAACGCCAGCGTTGTGAAGACAGAAGCCAGCACCCCCCCCCCCCACCACCACCACCGTTTAATCCATTCAAAAGACTTTCAAATTCTTCACTCAGCCTTCAGAAATATAATCCAGTTCATTACCATTGAAGCTAGATCACTTGCTTGATACGTTAGAGGGAAAACTTGATGTGTAAGCTCAACTCGCTGCTGTCAAATTAAAGTTTCCCCAACCTCCTCGAATGTTCAAATAAAACGGGCTCAACTCATTTGCACAAGGTCAAACCGCTTGATTTCCACGTATAAGACCTTTCTGTTTGCTGCCTTCAGGGCAGTTCTGGGCAGCAGAGAAACACAACATCACATCAAATTAAATCGCATAGCTCACGATGGCAGTTTGAACTACAGTATTAAGATCAACAGGGCTTAAGAATAGTTTTTTTTTTAAAGCAGCCCTAATAGGCAGGTCATGTGTCAGATAATTGCAGGGATCTTTTGTTCTCTGCCCTTTTTCTGAACCCACAGTAGCGACATCACTTGTTTTTTGGTAACGATTCAAGTCAATTATTTCCAGATCACAGAATAGCTGCTATTATATTTAATGTGTCCTCCGAATGCACAGTGTATTATTTGTCGCAGCTTCCTGTTGTTTCTTTCATTCTTTACTTGCTTTATTCTCATATCCAGATAAAGCAAAGTTAATTAAAAAAAATGGGAAAGTGATTAAAAAACTTACTGCGAAGGCAACTGTTGAAAAGCAAACTAATCGAAGGTAACATCACCGAACAGGAGATAGGGGTTCGTCCTATAATTGATGTGTTGCAGGTTCAAATCCCCGCTCCATCTGTCTCAGCCGTTGTCAAGACACTTCACTCACCTGACTTGCTGGTGATGGCGCTGGCACATGGCAGCCCCGCCTCTGTCAGTGTGCCCCAGGGCAGCTGTGGCTACAATGTAGCTTACCACCATCAGTGTGTGAATGAGTGAATGACTGCAGCGTTAAGTGCTTTTGAGTCCTTGGACTTGATAATGTGCTAAATAAGTTCATTGATCATAATGAAAACTGTATTTTCTTGTTGGCATACGCTTTTAAGCAGGTTTAAATTAAAGATCCTGAATAAATACATATGGCCCACCCCACCACCTTCTATGTCACAGTTTTAAATAATAGTCCTTGCAAATTAAAATAAGTTCTCAGCTACACTCAATTTTAGTTTAATATATGTAAGACTGAATGAGTTTTAGCCATTTTGGTGTTTGCTAAGGTGGTCACCTTGAATGGGGTTGACTCCAAGTGTCTATCAGCTGTGGATGTTCAACCAGTGAATGCTTTCTGAAAGTTTCATTAAAATCGGTTGACTGGTTCATGAGATATATTGCTAATCAACAGACAATCACATATGTTATGTCGT